CAATGTAAAAATTCCATATTTGGAATCAAAGTTTACCAATGTGCTTTGTGTACCTGAGATGGAACATAATTTATTAAGTGTGTCTAATTTAGACAAACAAGGTTTTGAGGTCATTTTTGTAAATGGAAAGTGTCTCATCAAAAGGAATGGGAACATTTGTGCAGAAGGCATAAAGGAAGATAATCTATACATATTGCAGGGACATAAGGTTCAATGTTCCCATATATTTAAGAATGTTGCAGAGCATGATTCATGCGTTCATCTTCTACATAGAAGACTTGGCCATGCAAGCTTTAAAGTTTTGCAGCAAATGCAAGATTTTGTAGAAGGGCTAAATTTGAAGGGATGCAAAACATATTTGGACTGTGCAATATGCAAAGCATCGAAGTCAAAGGCATTCCCAGTTAGTAAACATAGCACAAGACAAACAAAAAGAGTTCTAGAGCTGGTCCATGCAGATCTGGTGGGACCTATGCAAACCAGTTTAGGAGGAGCAAAATATGCACTGGTAATTGTTGATGATTATAGCAGGTATTCATTTTGCTATTTGCTTAGAGCAAAGACAGAGGTGCTACAACAATTCAAACAGTGGGTAAGTTTTGTGGAGAGAAGGTATAGACAACAAGTGTGTCAGTTGCAAACTGACAGAGGTACTGAATTTATGTCAACTAAATTCCAACAATGGTTGGGGAAGTTGGGGATAAGACACAGACATACACATCCTTACACAGCAGCAGAGAATGGTGTAGCTGAAAGAACGAATGGTGTTTTGCAAACAATGGAAGATTCATTATTGGAGGATTCTGGTTTGAGCAGGTCATATTGGGGAGAAGCCATATTGACTGCTAATTATATAGTTAACAGGCTGTGGAGTTCCTCCATTAATTATACTCCATATGCCATTCTATATGGGAAAAAGCCATCATTGGCACATCTTGAGAATTTTTGGAAGTACTGCATGGGTACATATTCCAAAAGCAATCAGAAGAAAGGGACAGCAAAAGGCAAGAAAGCTCAGGTTTGTGGGCTATGAGCCAGGGTCAAAAGGATATCGCTTTAGCGATGGAAGTAAAAGAATTGTAATTTCAAAGTCTGCTAATTTTGCAGAACAAAATTGGGACAGAATTAATGCTAATTCTGGGTATGTCTCACTTAATGACGGTGATCTGTTTAGTGACAATAACTCATCTAATGATAAAAAAATGATTATTGAAGATGTCAATGTTCAGGGAGGAGAGGCTGAACAAGACATGAAACCAGAAAGACTTGAGACACAGGAGCAGTTAATACCACGTAGGTCAGAGCGATGTAATAAAGGAATTCCACCTGACAGGTATTCTGCCAGCAAGGTAAAGGTTTGCAATGTGTGGTATGAGCCAAGAAGTTATAAAGAGGTGTTGGCATTACCAAAAGCTGAACAAGAAAAATGGAAGGAGGCCATGGATAAAGAGATGAAATCCATGGGAGACCATGAAGTATTTAAATCAGTGACTTTGCCACAGGGAACCAAAGCTGTGGGTTGTAAGTGGGTATATAAGAAAAAGGTATTGCCAAATAATGATATACAGTATAAGGCCAGGTTAGTGGCACAAGGTTTTTCACAATTAAAGAATGTGCACTACGATGAAGTATTTGCGCCAACTGTGAAAAGTGAGAGTATAAGATTAGCACTGGCGTTGGCAGCGGCATATAAGCATAAAATCTGGCACTTTGATATCACAACTGCATTCCTCAATGCTGAGTTAGAGGAAGAAATTTATATGATCCAAGCACCAGGATATGAAATTGCAAAACCTAACATCGTATATAAATTAAACAAGGCTATTTATGGGCTGAAGCAGTCAGCCAGAAACTGGAATATCTGTTTAGATACTGCTTTAAAGGATCTTGGATTTAAAAGTTGCAAAGCTGATAACTGTATATATACTGGACAATTACAAGGAGGGAATTGTCTACTGTTATCATTTGTGGATGATCTTTGCTTCATCGCAAAGGATGCATCACAAGTCAAAGAATTTGCTGATAAATTAGGAAAGAAATTTGAATTAAAGAATTTGGGAGAAATAAAAAATTATCTTGGTGTAGAGATACAGAAAAATGAAAAAGATGGTTATATTCTCAGTCAAAGGAGAAAAATTGAGCAGTTATTCGAGAAATATAATATGAAGGATTGCAATACTGCTCCCACACCCATGAGTGCGGATTTTTATAATAGTTTAAATGCGGACAAAGGTGAAACCTGTGATCAAGAGATATATCACTCAGCAATAGGGAGTTTGTTATATCTATCACAGTGGTCCAGACCAGACATAGCTTGCACAGTAAGCATTTTGAGTCATTTTACTGCTGCACCTACAAAGTTACATTGGATGGGTGTAAAAAGGGTTCTCAGATATTTAAAGGGAACTATAAATTTGGGTCTTCAAATACAGATTACTGAGGAATTGAAATTAAAGTGTTATGTCGATAGTGACTATGCAAATGACATAAACACAAGGAAATCAAATTCAGGGATTATAATATTCTTTGGAGGGACTCTGATTGGATGGAAGTCCAGAAAACAAACAACTGTTGCTATTTCAACAGCAGAAGCAGAGTTTATTGCTTTATCTGAATTGTGTTCTGAAGTTACATGGTATGTACAGTTGTTGCAAGATTTAAATATTAATGTAAAAGAATCTGTAAAGGTATTTGAAGACAATGCTGCCTGTATAAAAATGGCAACTGGTGACAGGGTGAAGAACAGAAAGTAAACATGTAGACATTAAGTATTGTAATGTCAGGGAAGCTGTAAAAGGAAAATTGATTAGTTTACATCATTGTTCTTCTGAAAATAATTTGGCAGACATGATGACTAAACCATTGGGTGGTATTCACTATGGAAAATGTGTAAAGTCAATAGGTCTGATGTCTCTTCCTGTCATGAAGGAGGAGTGTTGGAATATTCATGAACAGGAAAAGTCATGTGGTAACCCAGTCAGCCAATGTGAGGAAAGTGCTACTGAGTCTGTGCAAAAAAGAGTATTGAGTTAGGAGCTGGATTTCCAGTCTCAAGGTTTTGTCTCTGGTCTGTCTCTGTAAGAAGACTTCATTAAGCTATGTTGCTGTAAAGAAGAATGGTATTGTAAATATTTTTATATAAATATAAAGTTATTTGAATCAGCTAAATGAAGTCAACTGTGAGAGCTTCTGATTTATTTTTCACCAATAGAGAAATTAAAATTCTCTAACAAAGTATTTTTGACTGTTTCTGACCATCCTGTGTGATTGGACAAAATGGGTATGCTTTAGGTTCCATCTATTGGACAATTTCATCTATTGCAACATTTCTGCTGCAGCGCCCACTGTCTGGAACAGCATCTTCCCTGCCCCCGAGATCCATATGGTTCCCACTCTGACAATGTTTAATAAATCCTTGAAAACCTGGATTTTTACCTAGGGCTTGCGGTAGGATAAGTGTCAATAGCATTTTATTGATGAGCAGGAAATGGAGGGGTTTTTATTAATCCTTGTTTTTATTGCTCTTACTATGTTTAATGTGGCATACCGCTCAGAGTCGTATGTACCGTGTTTCCCCGAAAATAAGACTGGGTCTTTTTTTTCCCTCCAAGATTCAATCCATAGTTCAGTTCTCGGCTGCAGAGTTCTTACAGAACTGAACTATGGATTGAATCCATAGCTCGGTTTTAACTGCATTGTCCTCCCGGAAAGGCCTGTGACTGAGAAATGTGGGCCTGGCTGCAGAAGATGCCGCAGAAGAAATGGGCCGGCGAGGTGAGGCCTGGCTGTAAAGGTAAGTGGGTGCGGGGCATGTGGGACAGCTCCACAACCCCAACCCAGCTAGATTTTTAGGTGTGTGCCTTGCCCCAAAACTAGGGCTTATTTTTGGAGTAGGGCATATATTAGGCCCATCCCCCCCAAATCAAGCTAGGACTTATTTTCAGGGTAGGTCTTACTTTCAGAGAAACACAGCAGTTGGGTGACCTTTTAAATTTAATAATAAAAGTAAATAAATGAGCACTAACTTGGTTTAAAATGCATAGAAAGACAGCAGTATGCAAATAAGCACAGTAAAAGAATGGACATTTCTTCACCAATTTCTCTAACAGAGCCATTTCTAATATCAACTTTTACTAATTGGATCGTAGGAGCCTAAACTTTTATTAGACCATATATCAATGGAAAATTCAATGTCTCACTCTTTTTTTGCCAGCAAATCTGTTACGATTAAATTATATTCACTGTTAAAGCTATATTTAAGATATGAAAATGCATGAAACTACTACTAAAAATTCCTCCTCCCACCAAACAATGTAACACAAATTTAGTTATTCTATAATGATTTTGATACGAATCTCTATTTAGGATTATATGCTATAGATCTGAAATGTATACATTGCTAGATGTAAATCTACCCTCTTAAACAGAAAAACTATCTTATATTATCTGAAAAGAATTATGAATCCAAACAGACTTCTAAATAGCTCTACACAATTTTTTAAAACATCCTTAAACATTAAAAATCTGATAAAAACAGATTTTTATCAGACCACTTCAATGTAAAGTGCTCATGCAGTTTTGACACTGATTTTATTTTCTATTTCTTTGTAAGTGCAGAACCAGTTTTCTACATATTCCATGGACGGTTTGTTCTTTAATCCTATTTCTGGGGTGTCCCATACCAGTAAACGTAGCAACAAATATGAATGATTGAGATTTGAGCTCCTGAAAGAGAAGAGAATGCCCTATTTTATATTTTAAGGGAGGGAGGGGATATCTAAATAAACCTCTTCCAGAAGTAAAGGTTTGCCTAAACAATTTAACTCCTGTTTTTCTCTTGCTTGATACAAGAGCATTACTTCAAGCTATTATTTATATTTGCTCTTCAATAATTTATTAAATATTTATGAAAATTAAACATTACATATCTGATTTTCTGTATCTCATTGCTGTACGAACAACGAAAACAAGCTGTACTAAATGTTCAGATGATTCCATACCTGCCTTTCTGCTTCCTTCAGCAAATTTCGGAATCGTTCATCATGAATGACCCAGTGAGGCAGATCAGTTTGACCACTAAGCTGGGCATCCTCCAGACGCTGCCGCAATTCTCTTAGAATAGATAATTCCTCATTTAAGTGTCTCTGCCTTGTTCTTGATGCCTGAAGATCCAGCTCCAGGTCTAGAGATGTCCTTTCCATAAGATCAGCCAATGATGATCTACATGAATGCTACAATATAAAAATTATGGCAATGCCTCTAATGGTCTTACAAAGAACTAAAAGGCTCTAAACTATTTCACAGGTATACAACTGTTGCAAAATAGTGGCAGGTGAGCAAAAATAGTAGGAGAAATTGGTTCAGTTGTGTTCAGGCAGAAATTGGTCCACTGTAGGTTAAATGGGATAACTTTAAACCACATTTACACAATTAGGGGCTGGCACATATTCTCTCCACCACGTCTTACATTAAGAATGTTTCCCTTTCCTCCTTAGTTTAATATTATACTAACATTTGCACTGACACAATCCTAATTAAAGCTAACAGGAATTTACTATGAAATTGCTGGGATTAAATTTCAAGAAATGTTGAAGCAGTAGAAGAAAGTTCTTCTTTAAGTACAAATGAAAACTTCAGAAAAACTAAAATATGATATTTTACAAATATAAAGTCACTTCATTATGGTTTGTTTATGGAATATATTTAATGTATACAATTGATAAATTAACCCATATCATAATTTTAAAGTTACTGATACATGCTATTAAACATATTTTTAATTTTTTTTACTTCGATGCATTTTTTAATGTCTATCTAATGTTTTAGGAGAAATCGGCAGGCAATAGGTCCAGTTTTAAAAACAAGCTATCTATATTATAATAGAAACATATGGAAAATGGAAAAAAAACCAAGGTTCAGAATACACAATATACTGTATCATAGGAATTTTCCATTTTATTTTTTTAATCCGAGGTAATATCTACTGTCAATTTCAGCTTCTATTTATCCATATTTTAATTGTTTTGTGCCTTCTAAAAACTGAATGTTTATCTATAATCTCTATCTATTTCTGTTTGATTTCTAATTTGGTATAATTATTTATTCGTAACCATTTTATGCACTATTTAAAAAGAAAAATGTTCGGAAATATTTTCTACTATTATTCCATAATTTTTCAGACAATAGAAAATAGGTAAAAACCCACCATCGTTTGTAATCCAGGTTTCAAATGGATGGATGAATGAAATTTTATTTCTGATTAATTATATTTAGCATACTATTTATCATCAGCCTTCCTTAACCTGTAACTCATCTCTGTGTAACCAATACAGCAGTTAAGCATTCTCACTGGGCACATAAGCTATATTTCTTTGGCTTGCAAACTGCAAAATGAATTTCCAAAAAACACTGACATTACCAAAAATGTTAAACATGCAGTTCTGTTCTTCAATTGTGGTTTTATATAAGAGTTGTCTTCCTCAGCCTGATGTCCAAGCTAGCTTTTGTATGTAGCTAAGAAAGAGACTTTTTGAATATTCTTGATACCAATATTAATCAAGACATTATGTAGCTACTGAAAATATATTATGGTTATCATCTGGCCTTCTTTTAACAATGACAGGGTAATTTACACAAAGTAATGAAAAATCTAGTCAAATATATAATAAAAAGGTTGTACAGTATCAACACTAAAAAGAGTTATATGTGACAAATAAAACACAGCAACATCTAATGAACAACCTTATGGCAAGCCTTTATGATTAACTATATGAACATAATCTATAACATTTATCATAAAATCAGCCTATTAAATACCTGCTTATAACGCAGCATACGCCTCTCCAAAGTATTCCGTATAAAAGGTGATTTTCTTTGCAAAGTGGAACTGTCACTATCACTACGATATAGCTGACAGAAAGATGTGAAACACTGATTATAGTCAATCTTAATACAATTTAAAGTTTAAAGACAGTAATTCTATTATAGTTATCCACATCAATTTGAAATGATTTCCTTTAGATAATCTGATGCAAATTTCAGTTCTATCATTCTTGTATTTTCTATTATTGACTTATAGCAACAAAAATATTTTTTCAAAAAACAAATGAAAAATCAAAGAAATAATTGAATTGGAAATGGATGCATTTTTGCCAATATCCTTCCTTATCTGCAGTAACCCCTTCCCCTGATCAGCTGAGGAAAATGACTTCTGCCTTATAGGTATGGCACAATTAAGGAATGATATTTTCAGATGATATTATCGTAACTTTCCCATAAAAAATTCATTAGCAAGGTAATGATACTGGAAGATATAAGCAATGCTTATGACAGCGGTGAAAATCTTCAGAAGGAAATATATGGACTGTTGAGCAAAATATAGACAAAATTTACCTGTAATGTGATCTGTGCTATGAGTTACTACTTTATACATAATACTTGTTATGTATTATGGTTGTGCTTTGGAAGAATGTACTTTGTATAAAAAAACCACTATCTAATACAGGACTTTTCAACCTTTTCACCCATTGTACCGCTTTTAGGATATGGCAACATCCAAGTACTACCAGTCACCTAGCAAGGTGTCAAAAACTTGATGACAAAAAAAAAGAAAGAAACAAGTGCCAAAGTACAGGTAGTCCTCAACTTACAACAGTTCACTTAGTGATTGTTTGAAGTTACAAGGGCACTGAAAAAAGTGTCTTCCAAGCCACAGCCGAGCAAGACACCTGCCTGCCCACCCAGCGGCGCTCTTCCTCCTGTTCGAGGTTTTCATTGTTGTGAGCATTTATGGGGATTGGCAGCGGAGGTGAGGTGGGGGGGGGGTGTTTGGTTTTTATTCCACCTGTCTGCTGGGTGGTTGCAGCAGTTTTGGTCACTTCACATGACCCTGGGACACTCTAACCGTCATAAATATGAATCAGTTGCCAAGCATCTGAATGTAAATCACAAGACCCTGGAGATGCTGCAACATTCCAGCTGATCGACGCTTTTTCTGAGCTCAGCAGAAGTGCCAGGATCACTTACTCTGCTGCTGATGTGGCCCTCAATGAAATTGAGTTTGACATCCCTGCTCTATACATTTACTTATTCAATCTTAATGAGTATCCAGATATTCTATTGCACATATACAGTAAGAAAGCTTTTGCAGATATCTTGGCTTGTATTAATTAATGAGAAAAAGGTCCTAAAATATGTATTCTGCTAATAAGTTATTTACACAAATTTTAAATAGAATTATTTAGCATTCCAAATGACTTTTGCTATGAAATTTTCTACTCACTCGGCAAACATATTGGCTTCGTGCACCAGGTGAAAATGTCTGTGAGCGAACAATAGTATTATTACGAACAAATGCAGAACCACGGGATCGACGGCCTAGTCTGTTTTTATGAGGCAAAACCATTTCTTCAGAAAAAAGATCTTCTGTATTAGTCTCCTTGTCCACCTATAGCAACAATCAAAATCTCAAAACTTTTCTTCACAAAGAAAGCGCAAGTATTTTAAGGAGTAATTTTAAAGTAATTTGTCCATTAAATTCTTATAATAAAAATCAAATTCATAGTGCTTTCTTTCCTAAAAAGAAAATAAATAAGCATTCATGATTTAAATATAAAATCCAGACCAAGTCCCATAAAGATTTAGGAAAAACTGTAACAGCTATATTTACTTGCCTTTAAAGTTGGAGCCTGATTTCTTCCAGAAATATACTGATCTGTTTGATATGCAAACATAGGAATCTGCAATGATTCACCACAATAGGACTCCAAGTGATGACTGGACTGCATGCAATTATTACATCCACTATCAACTGATTCTGCTTGCCAGCTTCTGCAAGGAAATATTTTAAATTATTTTATTGATTATTTGATTTACTTTATGAAATTCAGTAACTGGTAATTTGAATGAGCCATAGGTAACTTAGAAAAAACAGAACAGCTAAACCATTTAAAATCAGCCACCAAGGATTAAGAAATTCTTGTATTTATACGCAAGAGAATATAAGATTTATATATCGGATAATAAACTAAATCAGTCAATTGGAGCAGACAATATAAGTCTTTCCTAGGAAGATGTTCAAGTGATGGCCATCATAATTGAAAAGATCTTGAAAACACAGCCATAATATACCTGGCAGAGCAGGTCAAATAGATTGATTTCTATATTGTATTTTACTGTATCATAATTCTAACAAATATGCAATCTTTGTCAGTAGACTGCTCAGATATGGAATCAAAATCAATAGGATGGCTTCTTTATGTTGACAGAAGTATTTACTGCTTACATATATATTTTTCAGATGTATAGAATGCTATTCTATGTTTAAAATTTTGTTCAAACATGTACATGAACTCATGTTGGCTCAGAAAAAAAGATGGATTTCTGTACTCCTTAAGTTCAACACAAAGGCTAAAATATTTGAAGTCTGTTTCAGCTACATATGCTTAAGATGCTTCTTACAATAATGAGTGAAAGTCATGCTAGGATTAATTGAATATATTTAAGATTCATGTCAAAATATCAAGCATCAGAAATGGAATTAGCTTCAGGACACTCCAAATTCTGCACATTCTTATTGTATGCATTCTTCACAGTAAAAAGTACCTCTCTGACACAGCTTCTCCTTGATCTTGTTTTTGTTCCAGCTGTAGTAGTTCCTCTTCTGTGTACTCCAGTTTTACTCTCTCCTCTGCAAGTTCTCTCTCCACAGCTTCCAGTTGAGCTGTTGTCCTAGCTAACAGTTCTGCCATAGCATCCTAGAGAAGAAAGGAGTGTTCAGATCAAATTATTCCCATTTTATTTATATGTGAGCTGGAATTAATATTTTCAATGCATAATAACAATGACCAAGTTCATACATGCCAAAAGGGTCTTAAATTAGCCAATATGCAATATATTCTACACTTTGGGAAATTCTCATACATAAAGGGTACCATTTCATATTGAATTCCAAAAGATATCCCTTTCTGCTGTATTTTTTCATTGTTCTACATCAGGGCTTTTCAACCTTTTCACCTATTGTACCACTTTTAGGATATGGCCATATCCGAGTACCACCAGTCGCCTAACAAGGTGTCAAAAACTTGATGACCCCCCCAAAAGGAAAAAAGTGATGAAGTACAGGTAGTCCTCAACTTACAACAGTTTGCTTAGTGACTGTTCGAAATTACAATGGCACTGAAAAAAGTGCCTCCCAAGCCACAGCTGAGCAAGACACCTGCCCGCCCACCCGCCCGGCGGTGCTCTTCCTCCTGTCCGAGGTTTTAATTGTTGTGAGCATTTCTGTTGAGGACTGGCAGCGGGGGTGGGATGGAGGGCTGTTTGGTTTTTATTCCCATCTGCTGGGTGGTTGCAGGTTTTGTTCACTTCACATGACCCTGGGACACTGTGACCATCATAAATATGAATCAGCTGCCAAGCATCTGAATGTAAATCACAAGACCTTGGAGATGCTGCAACATTCCAGCTGATCGGCGCTTCTTCTGGGCTCAGCAGAAGCGCCAGGATCAGCACTGAGCTTGAGCTGGAGCTGGGTGCTGATCCTGGCACTTCCACTGAACCCTGACAGTTCCGAAGAAGCGCTGATCCTGAGCCCTGACAGCTCTGCAGCTCCAGCTGTCTCTCGCTCAGGCTTGTGCAGTACTGCCACCGGTTCAGCTCATTCCCCTCCCCCACTACCATTTTTTTAGGATGGTCGCGTACCACCTGCCAGGTGCCAATGTACCACAGGTGGTACCCGTACCACTGGTTTAAAAGCCTTGTTCTACACTGTTTCCAGAATAAGCTATATTTTCTTAAATTCAGATCTCAAATATAGCACGTAGAATAATTAATACACTTCAAAATAACTAAACATGACCAGACAATTCAAAATGGATGCATAGACAGAACATACTCACACTTTTAGCATGACCAGCAGATCAATGCCAGTTAAACAGTTCCACTGATAATAAAGTTTCACCAATGCAGCTTTTTATCAATTGCCTCATTTATCTAGCATTTCAGACAAATCTTCCTTTAGTATCAAGTATCACATAAACATAGAAACACAAGAAAAATTATATATGACTATACCATTTTCATTATATTTTTATTTTCAATAGAATGAGAAGCACTTTCTTCATGTTTAGGTTGTTCTTTTTTTTGTTCACAATCTGAACCAATGAAGGTCTGAACAGGATACCAGCAAAGCTGCATCTCACTAGAACTCTCATAGTTAGCTAGGCTGATCTGAGCAATGCCCTGTGAACATACCAATGCAAAATGTGTCAATGTAACATAGAAAACATTTCTATTACAAAACTATTTCTTTTAATAAAAAACATTAGCTTCAATATTTAAGGAATACTCATCACATTCTGTGTGAGTAACCTCATTGCCTACAATTCTCTGCAGATGTTTTTTCACATCTAATTCTAATAAATTAGCTTTGATTTTTCACTAGATCAGGGGTAGGGAACCCTGGCTCTTTTATGACTTGTGGACTTCAACTCCCAGAATTCCTGAGTCAGCATGGCCAAGGTTCCCTACTCCTGCACTAGTTAATAGGGATATGAAAAACATTTTCAGTGTAAAATGTTTCCAGCTCAAAAAAAAAAATCTGTCTTAAGTTTGAAACCTTTGCTTCAACCCTGAAATGGGTTGTTCTGACCATTCTGGAACATTTCATGGAAAGAAATTTCTTACCAATAATTCTTCTTGTTGCTGCTGGCCAAGTGAACAAATGTAAAGTTGAAGCACTTTGAGTTTTAAGGTATTTGATTGTACAGGAACCTGAAAGACTTCATTAAATATTAACGAAGCCTGGAATTCCAAAGCCTTAGAGCAATATGTGGTTGTGGTGCCTGACTCAACAGATGGTAAGTATATTCTCACGTGTCTGAAAAAAAGAAAAACCCCTATATAGTAAAAGTATCAATAAAATATATGAAATTAGTAAATACGTTTTATTTTTATCTTTTTAAATGGTCATTACAGCATTGTATTGCAAAGGGCTGTAATTCTTTTGCATCTGCTGAAGCAATAATTTGGGATAGTCAATATGATATGAATGCTGGCAATTCTGGATGCTTACAAGTAGTCCTCGACTTATGACTAGAATTTCTGTTGCTAAGAAATGCAGTTGTCACTTGGTGCATAATTAATCACATATCTAGACATTTGATAGGATTAAAAAGATAGTGTTAGAATAATGTACAGATCTCAACGTACATTTTACAGCCTTCTTTGATGGCAAATCCAGTAAAATTCTTTAGCTGCAACACATGGATAAGGAGACATTCACTTCCACTGTCATGCCTGAAAAACAACATAACCAATTAACTGCCACTCTATTCTCAAACATACAAGTTATAGATTTACATATGGTATAGTTTTGTTTTTATATAACTGATATATACAGCGTTATATTATAATGTAACTTTAAAATAGCAACAGCAACCTAGAATACTAATTTAATTTAAAATTTCTCTTCATTTTAGCAGAAATGTTTGATACAGCTAGTAGAACTTATGAGAATTCTAGTCCATTATCACATATCTGGGAAACGGATTAATTTAGCCATTTAAAGATAGTATTTACTGATGAACCATAAATTTTAAATGTTGTAAGGACCCACCCCACTTTGCATCTTAAGAAGACAGAACTCTTGGAATCATTCTTCCAACAGGAATCCTTTATTAAGAAGAAGTGGTTGCAGGCGTGCTAGACAGGACTTGGGCTCCAAGCTCTCCCATTCAAGGTTTTAAGGGGTTCCCCAGTAGTCCCACCCAATCACCCCCCCTTCCAGTGATAGTTTCAGGTATCACAATTCCACCCCCTTTTTTCTTTCTTCCGTCTGGATGGAGACTTCAGATAAACTACATGAAAGGCAATTAACCTTCTTTGTTATGGTAAGGTTCTTTGGTGCTAACTCTTTGAGGTTGCAATAAACACACATTCAGCTCCTTAGAAGTATACTGAAGGAAGTGAGGGCCATAAAGCTCCTTTGTTCTCCCCCTTCTCTCCCTCTTATGGCAGAATCCAGAGAAGGCAGAATTGGGAGTTTCTATATTTGATAATTAAAGATGAAATATAATTGGATTCTGACAAATGTACTATTCTGGTCTAAGTGGGAATTCTTTTAGCCCCCCCCCCCTCTCTCTTTTTTTTTTTTTACAAATTAAAATAGTAATGATGAGATAGCCAAGATGATGTACATTCACTACTCACAAGTGTTCCTGAATTTTGGTTTTGGTATATAATTAGTACTGACCAAGGCATAGAAAAATACTCACAGAAATCCAACCTGCATTTTGGGCTCTTCACTAGTGACACCATCATTATAAAGTGATTCTTCAACATCTTCATTTCTATATAGGAATTAAAAAAAAATAATAACTTATCATTAAGTAGTACCCTATCATGATAAATAATATTAACTAATAAGTACAAAAAACACATCCTCTGCTTTCTATATTATATGACAAACATTCCTCAAACTCAAATCTTAAAGACATTGTTGAATTCTATGGCATATAGTAAGTCCACATGTGATTAACCTAATAACTAAACTTTATTTACTGGCAATCATCACATATGGTTATTTTGAAAAAAAGAAACAAAAACAAAATTAGTATGCTGATGCCCAGATATGCAAGACAAGTATCGAAAGTAATTTCAAACATTGAGGCATGTGCTGTTCCCAGTTTTAAAACAGGTACAGATACAAAAGCTGAAACTACTTTATTTTAACATCCTCAAGGTCCTCTTCAAAACATTATTTTCTATTCAAAGCAGAGTTGCTTATATTCTATGTACTATTATGTAGTGTTCTGGTTTATTATAACTGAATTTTGTTATAAAGTTTTAGTGCTAGTTTACAGAACATAATCAGATAAAAGTACAAGGATCCAACACAATCTTTCCTTACCCTCTCATAAAGTGGCAGCTATTCAGCTGCTATTCTTTTTTTCTCCTTTTAATTGATTTCTTTTTCCTGTTTAATTTCTACTCATTTTTAAAATGTAAAAATATTTAAAAAATAAATTTCCAAATGCCTCTTAACTACCAATAAACGAGAAGAGTTTGTATTGCTATGTAGTTACTATGCTCAGTAAACAACCAACAACATTTTAAGAACTAGATTAAAAAAGACTACTTTGCTAAAAAAAATCATTTGCCATTAATCTTATCCAATAGAAGATAAAAAGATCTTCATCAATTCTATAATATAGAATTTTTAAGGGGAATTAAGTATAATTCCGTTTTACACATATCTGTACAATCTGACCTTTTGCTTAAAGCTTCAAACACGCCACTGTCACTAGCCAATGAATAATTGGACAGACATGCTGAGACTCGCCTGGATCTCCTTTCCAATCTTCTAGTGCTATTTTCACGTAAGGTCACAGCTACAACATGGAAAACAGTAAAGATAAGTTACACTGAAGATTTATTGAATTTATTCTCTTTTTTTAATTTGTAAAGCATAAAGGCAGCATACATAATGCTCGCTCTTCCTATTTTCTCTTCATCAACAACCTTGTGAACTGAGTTGAACTGTGAGACAGTGACCAGCCCAAGTAACTCAGCCAATTTCCATGTCTAAGGGAGGACTCAAACTATTTTCACATGTGAACAACAACAAAAATCATTCCATTCAATTTACTAATAAAAATGTATTAAATGTGTCATATGTGTATTGAAACCTTAACACACACTTGCCTGATCCAAGCTATCTTAAATTTACATCTGAATACTTTTAACTGAGACTTGAGCACTTGCTTGCATGATTACCCATACAATTCACTCCAAAACAGAAAGATAATACATGTTGTTAAAGCAAAACATAAAGAATATATTTATAAACCATTAACAATTTAACGTGAGTATAGTCCACTGATATATAGAAGATAATTGGGTGCATTCAGATTATATAAAATATCCAACACCTACTTATAATCCTTTATGATTTGCTCATGACTATTAACAGAGTGATTAATGCTCATTGTATTATTGGCCTATGATTTTTCCTTTCACTAACAAATCTAAAGTAATCCATGTCTTAGATTTATATTCAGGCTGGCAATGAATGGAAATCAGAGCAAATAGCACAATAAACATTCAGCCAATGATCAAGAACAAATGACACAAGGACCCTTAAACAAGCTACTAATGCCAATTATATACACATTAAGAGGAGCAAACTAGTGAAATCAAACACCAAAAGTATGACTCTCATATAATTTGAAAGTAATTATATGCATTTGTTTCAATTCAACTATAATTATATCCAATGTTTTCTTAAAGTTATCTTCACCTGTATGTGTTTCTTTAACAAGATAATCATGTCAATTATAATTTTAAATATTTTCATGGTGAATGATTTTGTTGAAAGTTGCATGAAAATAATTATTCCATAAAAATGCTAAGTTTTTTTAAGATCAATAAAAAAACAAAATAGTAAGCAAACTTTTGATATATAGCACAATGCAAACCAAGAAAATATATTATTTTATTCTTCAGGATTTTGATTTCCTAGTCTAGCCTACAGTTTTACTAGTCAAACTGAACCCTGTTAGCTTCCTATCTTGGCAAGGCCAGCTAGTGTTACCAGGAATATATTAATATAAAGTTTATTTCTCTAATATAATTATATATAATTAATTTATATTATGGCTTTAAATTATATATAATTACTTCAGAGTTCTAGGTTTTTAAATGTAAGATTTTGGTTATCTTACAACAAGAAAGTTTAAATATTTGAGATAATTTTGTAATACAATTTTACTTATTTTGTTTGCTTGCCATACAAACCTTTTGTGTCTTTATTTTCATTGTTTCCTGCATGTTTTCAAAAAGAGAATGCTCTTAACATTTAGAATCAACTTCTATAATTGTGATAGTCTGATTTACCTAGGTCAGGGGTAGGCAACCTCGGCTCTTTTATGACTCATGGACTTCAACTCCCAGAATTCCTGAGTCAGCATAGCTGACCTAGGTTCAACTATTAAAGAAAATAATATTGCTTTCTTGTTTCAATTTTGTAACATTGATGTTGCCAGCGAGTTAAGACATGCTTCCTACTCACATGAAACAGATTTTCACTGAGGAGTTTATGTCATTTTGTACAATAACTGTCTTCCCACTTTTAAATATTTTATTGACTCTTAAAAGAAACTTCATTTTAAAAGATTAAGTAGTAAAGACTTCTTTGAAATAATCTTTACTGTGTATGACAACATTGATAAATTAATGTAGTAAAATTATTCTGTGCTTGGTTTTCAGGTTGCTTTCACAGTTCCCAATCTAGCTTACAGTTTGGGGTTTAACAGAGAGTTTTGCATTCAAGAACCAAGCTTTTTTATTTTAGCTTCTTGCAATCAACTAGAATTGGCTAAATGCTAGCCATCTGATCTGAAGTAAACAGGGAATGGCAGCTGAAGTTTCAGAACAGAACATAGTTAGTTAATATAAAATAAGAGAATATGTAGCTAATATCAGATGGTATAGTGAAGCATAAATACAAGGAATTAGAATTCCACATTTTTGTTCAGCTGATGCTCTTGTGCTAGCTATTAGAACTTAAGACACTGTATACCTAAATATTTAAGATCAGTAAACATAACAATGGCTAATACCAACTATTCTAGTTTATAGCTACGTTATATTAACTCAATATGGCTAGTAACTCAATAGTTACTCCTAAGACTTTTTTTTAATGAAATCATAAAAATATTCTGGCTTTTAAACATAAAAAACAAAACCCAAACTCTACAAATACATATGAACTTTACTAGCAGAAAGAAAAGAGTAAATCTAGAATCACTTACAACATTTTTTTCTGTTGTGCCACATGAGGAACAAAATAAAGGAATACTTTAAGTGAAAAGTGGAACAAATTTGTCAAATCTGACATTTTCATTAAGTTCCCTCCCTCCCCAAAAATTAAGCATCCCCTGAAATTCTGCAACTCACGGAAAAAATGAATGTTGAAGGTTAAATCAACAGTACTTTCCAAACTTCATTAATGAGAGCTAAAAGTCTATAGTACAAGAGAAATGAATATTTCTCTTAAATATTAAAAATAAAAATGAATTTGTACTAATAATTATTCTTTACTTTTACACTAAGCAGAGAAATACAAACAGGTAACATCAGTGAAAGTTTGGACACTCATGTCTCTGTAAATCAAAAAGAGATTAAGTGAATTATTTCAGAAAATTAGCATATTTCATGATACTCCAACACTAGATGGCAGTCATTTATACCCTGTGCACTACATTTAGAAACAACAGTGCTGTTCATTTATTTCCCTAATCTTTAAATATTAAAATCAGCAAAATGGGAAATGGACAATGTAAATGCTTAAGAATGTAAATGCCTAAGCAACTCAATCACATGGGTATAAAGCAGACATATCTATATGGTATATTTAAATTTTAAATGTTAAAAAATGATCCTGCACAGACCCAAGATAAAATAGCAATTATTTTTTAAAAAAATTAAAAATACTAGCTAGTAACATTGAAAAATAAAATCCTATATTATAATATACCAAAAATTATAAAAATTGTACTAAAATGCTTGTTATGGAAATTACTGGTCAGTTTATAGCACAAGTGCAGTTTTGGGGGAGGGAGAACTACTATTGCCTTTTCCTTCAAACTACACTCCCCTCTAGAATGGAAAAAAATGAAAATAAGCAATCTTCTTACAAAACACAATCAGAGCAGTTGAACAGTCACATAACTTGAAATGGTAAATCCTTTTGTAGGAGTTGAAATAAATAATGTTCCATCCACTAGGTAGGAGTTTTGAAAACTATTCAGAAATTCAATTCAGAACATGGTGGCCCATGTTTTAGCTGTCTTGGAGCATATTATACCAATATCACAGGCCCTGCACTGGTTACTGGTTGTGTTCTGAATAGTTTAAACTGCTGATATTAACCTATAAAGACACTATGGAATGGGCCCTGTCCACAGTAATTTTTATGAAATGATTAAAAATGGAACTTTTCAAAGAATTTTTCATTAACATCTCCTGCGCCTCTTGTTCCTTGCATCTTTACTACTCTTCTTTCTATTTGATTTTGGTTTTGCAACTTGAATTGTACATTGTTTGTACACTGCCATTGTTCTATCTATTTTGACTCTGTAAATTGAGTGATTGTGATGTATTAAAACCTGAATGAATGAAGAAATATCTTTTTCTTAGGCTCAGAACACTGCAAATGAGTTTCAAAGCACAAATGTTTTATTCATTTCTAATTACAATTAACTTGTCCTATAATTTCAATAAAACTTAAAGTATTTTCCTTCATTTGGTTTCAGAAATAGAGAGGAAGGAGTTTAGCATATGAACTCCACAAACTAAAAAGCTAAAATGTAACAAGCCAACAAAGCATTTTATTTCCTTTCCTTAAAACTTACTATAATAATTTAATGTTTACTTAACTGAAACACAGGCATGCTGACTGATACAATTTGATTCAGCCTTTTTCCATGCACAACTATATTTTTTTAGATAAGCTGCTATCTACCTTGTGACAACCAACCTATATTCATTGTTCTGTTGATATCTGAAAACAAAATATAAATGGCTAAAAATTAACTTACCAGAATTTGGAATATTGATAATTGATAATGCGTCATTTCTTGTGGAATATTCAGTAGCCTTAGATGCTACCATTTCTTGTCCTTTGTCTTCACCCAAAACAGAGCTCTGAGCTCGAAGTATTTCTGAGGTACCTGTGTATGTTACTTCTTCATACCCTTCTGACTTGTGGACTAATAGAGAATCCCAAGAAGCAGGTAGGAAGGGAGTATCCAGGGGAGAACTTGGAGGTGACAGTGAAGAAAGGGATGACCTTGATGACAATGATGCCAAAGACAGAGGAGTATCTAAAGATCTTTGTTGTTTACTGCTAGCTGGAGATCCAATAGACTCATGATACTGTATATCTTTGTTATGAAAATCAACTGAAACTGGATCATATTGCATATGATGACCATAGTCAACAGCAGTATCAGATTTATCATACTGAGGGAGACCATAGATGTCTGTGAAACTAACAGAACTCAGGGAGCCTCTGCTGGATGCCAATGACCCATGGCTGGATGCCAATGATCCTCTACTGCTTCCAGAAGATATTGTCAAAGAACTGGCAGATAAACTGGAATAAGACATATGTAGTAAGTGTGCATTCACAAATGTAGATTCAAAATATGAGGTTTTTTCCCCTCTTCATTAACTGAAACAATAATCAAGATATATTCCTATATGCAGGCTTTGCAGACAAAAATGCCATCATTTTCCTTTGTCATTATATATATAACATCAGGAAAAAATAAAACCAGACAAGGAAAAATTAATTATACTGAAGGACTAATGTTACACTTATAAATAACAGAACCAACTAACTATAGAAAATGAGTTGATTTATGCATTATATTAGACAGCCTTGAATTCACATATTTATATCTCCTGTAGCTTCTCTGTCTTCCATTTTCCATCTGTGACTGAATTTGTGATCTGATCTTTGTCCTTCCAAATTATAATCAGACCAAGTCTGCAACTCTGGACTGAATGTGTCTGCATGAAATTGCAAATTATCCTTTTCCTAAGTCACACATACATATAGCAAGAACTGCTAAAAAAATAATCCTTAATTGTATTGTAAAAACAATTGTTTGCTTATCTAAGGTTGTCTATACTTTCATACATATGCCTCTATGTCTGCAAAGATGAAATTTATGGAACCCACTCTGTGCTGAAATTTTTACCCTTTATATGTAATTTAGATATTCATTTGGGCTATACTCACTCATACCTGGACAATTGTGCCTCAGAACATCTAGTGAAGGACAAGGGTGGCTAGCAAAAGCACACATGCTCACTCAAGGAAGCAGGTACAAAAAGGTTGTTCTTATTCCTCATTTTATCTATGCATCATACATATTGGAGAAAAGCCATCTGACATGATTGTTGCAAGAGGCTGTGCTATCACAAAGGGATTAAAGTAAAAACTGCATGAAAAAGTAGAGCAAAGTTGGCATCAAATCTAATCTACATATCCAGATGGTTCTATCTAAAATATTTAGATTCATATGAGCATCAAAGTAATGTTCTCTGAAAGGGACAACCTAGTTCTTTCTACAAGGTATTCTTGGATTTGTTGTATGCAATGTTTTTGTAAAAAAAAAAAAAAGAAAAGAAAAAGTGCCGGAACTCACACATATCATACATTCTGCCTTGCCTACCCTACAAGCTTCCATCTAAAAAAGGTGCCGGAACTCCATTCTGGGTGTTCTATGACCAAAAAAAAAAAAAAAAGCCCTGGTTGTATGTATGTATAGGCATAGTATCTATCACAGTGAAAGAAGTGCACTTAGCTATCCAGATGAAGTAGTTGCTTCAAACTTCAAGGAAAAATACTTCACTTATGCCAGCATATGTCATAAAGTCCTTCTAATGCACTGTTTCTCAACCTTGCCAACTTTAAGATAGGCAAACTTCAACTCCTAGAATTCCCCAGCAAGAGGTCTCCAGCCAGCACTCCCAATTCTGAGAGCTGAAGTCCACCCATCTTTATAGCTGAAGTTGCTAAGGCTGAGAAATAGTATTCTAATGCTTTACATACCATAATATTTTATAATAATAATAATAATAATAATAATAATAATAATAATAATAATAATAATAATAAAGTTGGAAGGGACTTTGGAGGTCATCTACTCCAACCCCCTGCTCAGGCAGGAAACCCTACACCATTTCAGACAAATGGCTGTCCAGTCTATGTAGAAGATGTGCATCAAATCTCTACTTAAGCAAACACTCACCATAGGTCTTGTGGTAAATTTGTATACAGATAAGAAGGTAACTCAATTAAACAACTCAATGGAGAAATATTAAGAAGGAGGAGGACCAGGTTTCTTTCCTTCATAGCAAATAAGTAATTACCGACACAAGAGAAAGTGTTCATTATAATAAATGTAGAAGACATCTAATAATTTGTAAACTACATAAGAGAGTATGAATAGAGCCCTTTGGATCTGGAAAGTATCACACTTCAGCAGCCAATGTGTTTCTGAAAGTACGGCTCTGAGGCAATAAACACTAGCCTGGAAAAAAATCACAAACTCAGAAATGAATAAATGAATGAAGTTTAAAAAACATTAATGATATTTTAAAAAGGAGAAAACTATGCAAGTATTCAGAAATTATGATCTGCAAGGATCATAGCCAAGCATACTTCCTTGAAATGCTAAAGGAACTACATCCATGGAAAGCTCATAAGGTTGTTCCCAGAATCTAAAAACTGCTTCTACAATTTGGGGAGCGGGGTAGAGTATTTCCTTATGTTAGCATACTGGGTAAAGCATTTTTAATGCTTTGCACAGTCCTATTATACAACACAATTTGAAGTCTAGATACATTAAAAATAATTACCAAATAATAAATGAAAAGCTAGCAAAAAGGCAGACATGAAATAACTTGAAGGAATAAGCAATTAAACAGGTTAGAGCAGTAAATTGGGAGATAAAAAGGAACCAATGTAACAAAAAGCAACATTTGGCTCTATTTTGAGGTGGGGTGTATGAATACTTGAGCAATCATAGTACTCAGATCCTATAGACACTCTGTAAGTAAAAATCTACTGTGAGACAGTGCGATGTCATTCTTCATTTTTAAGATCTGCCCCTTCAATATATATAGGTAGTCCTCAACTTATAACAGTTCATTTAGTGACCGTTCAAACTTACAACAGCACTGAAAAAGATGACAATGACCATTTTTCATACCGTATATGCCGGCATATAAGGCGACTTCCGGAAGCGCTAAAATCGGCGCCAAAGACGGGGGTTGTCTTATATGCCAAGTCGTCTTATACGCCGGTAATACTGGTAGTTTCCGGCATATAAGACGACGTTCTAGGAAGGCGACTCGGCGACAAAGACGGGGGTCATCTTATACGCTGGGTCACCTTGTACGCTGGCATATACGGTAGTTACAACCTTTGCAGCATACTGATGATCAGGTGATCAAAATTCAGATACTTGGCTGGTTCATATTTATGATATTTTTTGTGTCCCAGGATCATGTAATCACTTTTTTCAACCTTCTGACAAGCAAAGTCAATGGGGAAGCCAGATTCACTTAATTTATCAACTGCAGTGATTCACTTAACAACTGTAACAAGAAAAGTTGTAAAATGAGGCAAACCTCACTTACCAAATGTCTCAACAACATGTTGAGCTCAATTGTGGTCATAAGTTGAGGACTACCTTATATATTAAACTAAGAAAAGTATTTTATTTCCACTGAAACTCAGAGGAGTAATAAATTAGACTAGAATTATCCTAATCTACCCTAATCTAATTATCCTACCCAAAGGATAATTCTAAACTCTGTCCTGCTGAGATAAACCAATATATTTTTGGAAACAATGAAAAATTAATTATATTACATTATGATTTCCTTCTAACATGCTAATCAATTTCTCTAATATACTAACCTTTTCAATTGTGAGCATAAATAGGAACTTAAACGAGTTGCTTCTTCCAACTGCATAAGCAAACAATTATTCTTCTCTTGTAAAAGTATCCTAAAATAAAGCAAATTTTTCCTTACTATAATTACTATATAATGTACCTTGTTATTTAGAAAATTATATAGTAGAGAATTGACTTAGGTGTTTATAGAGAGTATCCTAATTTCGAATGTTTACATACTCCTCGAGCAGGCATGTTGTATTATTATTATTACAGCTGGTCATACGTCAGCCAGATGTTTAGACTGGATTTGGCATTTTTAATCTACATTATCAAGCCTTTCCCAAGGACCTGGGATAGTCAGATGGTGTTAAATGTCATCGTTGCAGAATGTAAGCTGCTTATAAACCTACCTTTTGCAACCTACTGATGGTGATTTTCTCAATGCTGATGGTGTTCAAGTGTTACTCCAGATGTTTTGGGATTACCTAGTATTATTGTACTATCTTTGCTTTTTTCCCCATCAATCATTCTATTTTTATTTGCAGGTATTTGTATTTTATTATTTTCTCCTGTTCTTTCTCTTCTATTCTGGTATTTCCAGGTACTGCAATGTCCATTATCCAGATTTTTTGTCTTTTTATTGACAATTGTTAAGTCTGGTAGTTGTGTGGCAGATGCTTGTCTGTTTGAAACCCGAAGTCCCAGAGCACTTTAACCTGTACATTTTTTTATTACTTTCTCTATTTTGTGGTCCCACTAGTTTTTGCTTGCAGGAAAGTGGTATTTCTCACAGATATTCCAATGCGCCATTGTTACTACTTTTAAATGCTGTTGTTTGTACTCAGTCTTGTACATCCTCCTTGCAAGAGCTAAAACTAAGTGGTCCACTGCATCTTCACCTTCTTTGCAGAGGTGACATTTGCTATCTTTTCATTTCTGGCTTTGTATGTGGTTTTCTGAAGATTGATCTTGTGCAACCAGAATTAGCCCCTCTGCTTCTTTCTTCAATTTCATTGCCATGTCTCTTTTCTATTCTTCATTTTGTCTTTCTTGTAAGCTTTTTCAGTCGCTCCAGTACTCAGTAAGCCTTCATAGTATATTAGCCTCAATGCAATTCTTCGCTGTCAAAGGACAGATATTCTTCCAATGCCATTTTTCTTCTTCTTTAAGTATCTGCTGTAGTTGCAAAATTCCATGCCACTTATGATCTTTGCCAAATAGTCTGTTAACATTGCTATATGGGTGAAGGACATGATTCACTGTCATTATTTCTCTAGTTTTCCTATCCAAGACTTCTAATTCAGCCAGTCCACTAGTTCAGCTAATGATTAGAATTGCCTCAGTGTTAATATTGCATTGTCAATATACTGCACTGTGTGAAGTATATTTAGACAAAAGAATGATTATTATGTACTACAACTGAAATAAACAACATCACAAGAAAGTACAAGAGGATAGAGCAAGGACTGCACCAAAGATCTATCTTCTTTTTTTTTTTTTTACTATAAGTTTTGGCAAGCAGGACAATAAAATGATGACATCAAGAAAATGAGAGAGTTATTTTTCCATTTTTAATTTCTGGGGTATTTAGTTTTTAGATTGTCACCTAAAAACACAAGGTAATAAAGGTATAAATTATTGATATATTTTTTTTCTTTAGCAGAACAATTAGTATACAATACAAAGTTGTACAAAGGCCCCAAGGCCATAGCTGCCACCTGCTGTTATGCTACCCTGAGAATAATACTATAAGGACCTGCCCCAGTTGGCTCCTGAGGAAAGCAAAATTTGACTCCATTGAATTGCATCAAAAAAACTTTTACTGAAAGTTGTTGCAGTAAAGTCAGGCAAAATCTGAGAGCTCCGCACAAAGCTCAAAGCAATTCTTCCATTTCCCCAAACCCATTCCCTGACTGGTCCATCGGCAGCCAATGTGATGCTGCAAGGTTGTTTTGAAAACGCTGAGGTGCTAGGCAGATAACAGGGCACCCTCAGGGCACAACAGCCTTGAAGCTGGAACTGGCTGGGAGAGAGTCTTCTCCATCTCCGAAGACAATCCCTCTCTCTAATTTCCAAGCAGTTACAGCAAAAGCGAAAACATGTGAAAGATGCCACCAAACATTCCTCCCCCAACCCTTTCCACAGAATGGTAGGACATGCTGGTGGACCTGACAAGTATAACCCCATCCAGAACTAAGCATGGAAAATCATCAGATCCAGGAAGCCTTAAAACCCAAACCCACTTGGTCTTGCTAGGGTTGATATTAAACCTGTTGTATTAAACCTGTATCAAGATTCCACGGCCTCCATGCACTGAGACAGAATCTCCACAGCTTCATTTGGCCATCTGCGGTTGAGATACATAAACAGAGTATCACCAACATATTGATAATATTTTACCCTCTGCTACTGAATGACTTTAAGCAGTGGTTTCATGTACAAGTTAAACAGGAATCTGGAAAACGTTAATAATGAAGCATCCCATGTAACAGAAGTCATACAGCAAGATCTCTCCTCCCGCCCTCTTCCCCAATTAATACAGAGTGGAAATTATTCTGACCTTGGAAGAAAGAGAATCAGCATAACAGTGTACTCCCAACCCTTAATCCTTGGAGCAGGTTCAAAAGGTGTCAGAACCCAGTTATTGGAAGGGGGTGATTTCTTTATTCTTGTGGGTTCTACCATAATCCTGGGGGGAGGGGGAGGTATGAGCACTACAATGTATCCTCTCTGTTTTCCTCTATCTGCTTGCTCTTTGATCTATTTCCCTTGAATGTGCCTACGGCCATCTGCCTTATCTCTAGCTGCGAAAAAGAGGCACGAAGACCATGGGAATGGTGCCTTATCAACCCTGTTCCCACAGCGGATTCACACCTGGGGATTGGGCCATTTGACCTGGCTGGATTGACTGTTGGGGTGGGGTTTCCCAGTTATACTTTTAATCTATTGATTCACATGGGAAATCCTCAGATCCTGCCTTCTATGCCTGCTGTCACCTTCTCCTAATAAAAGTTCCTTTTGGAATGAAGCTGTTCCAGGAGCTCTGCTTTTTTGGGAAAAGGGATTGAGGCAGGTCCTTACATTAGGCAGGATCTGCAGTTTTGGTCAGCCCGGAAGGAAGACCCTTACCGTGGGGACCGTGCAAACAATGTTGAACCACGGCACAGAGAAAGGAGAAGGCAACCTAGGAGGGGAAGTTCCCCCCCCCCAGGCTGCCTAAGTGGCAGCAGTTCATACTCCTCCACTTCCTCCGACGAAGCCTTAGCCACCAAGCACCAGGATAAGCCAAGATGGTCGAAGGGTGTTGGGAAAAAAGAAGACTGGGAGGTGAAATCCAGGGTGGAAGCGAGAGATCACTCCATCTCAGTGAGGAAGATGACGAGAGACCGGCCTGCTCTAGCCGGTTCCTAAAACAAGCTATCAATATGTTGAGGGTTGCTTTTGACTCCTTAAAAGAGGAGAAGGTAAACCCATATTGGGGCTGGGTGACCACAGGCATGACAGAGGAAGACCACATGGAGAGCGAAGTCGCAAACCCGGGTCCATCCACCAGCACCACAGAGACTGCAGCGGCTGCCACCCCAGCACAAATCATACCGGCTGGCAGAGAAAGACACAGGGGCAGATGGAGGAGAGGCCACCAGTCTGGATGGAACTTCCCAGCCTCGGGGGTAAAGTATAATGGAGAACCTCAGAAATTGGGGGTTTTCCTGGTGCATGTCCTGAGATATATGGAAGAATATGGCCGGGATATCCCCAGCAACCATGGGCGGATGAGAATCGTAACCATCATTCTGGAGGGAGCAACCGCCAAGTGGATGGTGACCCTACATGACGCCGATGCTCTGGAGCTGCGGATCTTCAATCACTTCATGGCTACCCTAAGGAAGAGGTTCGAAGACCCCTTGGCCGATCGGAAGGCTAGAGAGCAGATCAAAAAGGTGAGGCAAGGGTGTCGCCCAATGGCCAAATACACAGAGGAATTCCGAGCCTTGGCAAGCTGACTCAATTGGCCAGAAGTCCTCGTGGGCCATTTTAAAGATGGACTGAACAATGATCTGTATTACGCCTGCATTCCCCAGGGGGATCCTGATCGACTACAAGAGTGATATATCCTGGCTGAGGAAGCCGAAATCGATCAAGGTCGCAGACAACGCCTGGGGATGCTCACCCTTGGAGGGGGCCTGGGAGCCGGTGAGACCACCCTCCGCAACACCTAGGTCATCAGCTTATTTCAAGTGTGGGAAGGACGGACACAGCTAAGTGCTGATCGAAGACCCTCGTATGGAAACCAGACCAAGCCGGAGGAGGAAAGTCCAGGAAAACACCTCAGCAGCCAAAAGAAACTGTCATGAAGACCGTGGAGGTTGTCGAGGTCCAAACTCCAACAACCAAGGGAAGAGGAACTCTGATCCCAACAGAAAAAAAACCACCTGAATCCTCTGAAAACAACTCAGAGGACGAAACCCTGGTAAGTGGACCCATCGCACCCCTCACCAGGGATGCCGGAAAAGGTCTCATTAAGATCCCTGATAGACTCAGGCTGCACCCGCAGCCTCAAAAGTCCAACCCTGGTGGGGAACTTAGGAATCCTGATGAGAAGGCTGAACAAGCCAATTTCGTTTGGCCAACTAAATGGGTCCATCACAGGGGGAGGTCCAGCCACCCTTGTATGCAGCCCATTCAATTTACCATAGGGGGTCACACAGAGACTTTAACTTTTGGAGTGCCTGCTTATTTTAGGGATGGCATGGTTAATGAAATGGAACCAAGAGTGGACTGGGGGAAGGGAGAACTGAGATTCCCAAAAGGAAAACACCGTGTAAGGGGAGGGGTTCCAGCCCCAGAAGGGAATAGAGGTCTGGAATGTGTAGCAATGGCAAATGATGGGGGACTGGATGGCATATCTGAGGAATATCAGGATCTAGCTGAAGCGTTCAGTGAAGAAAGGTCCAACGAACTACCTCTCCCCACTGACCCACAGACTGTGCCATTGAGATCTTACCGGGAGCGAAACTACCTAAGCCGAAAATGTATTCCATGACCCCTCGGGAGTTGGAAGACCTACAAAAATTTATAGACAAGAATTTGGCAAGAAGGTTCATACAGC